GCTCCCCTAACCTGATATGGTCCTCTGCTCCCGCCATATCTGCCTCTCCCACTGACCGTACTGATTCCTCCCTCCTCCCTCAGCCCCCCGACCTCCCCCCCCACCCTTTCTACACCGCAACCCCCAGACATGGCTGGTCCTGACCTAAGGGGAACCTCCCCCCTCCCCCCCACCCTGGTTCCCCCTAAAAATTTGTTAATACACATCACATACATGAGTGTTTTGATAATGTATTTTCCATCTTTGTTGGTACATGAGTGAATTGGTAATTGACTTACCTTTCCTTTTACACTGGAGTTTTATGCATCCTAAAATTATTATTATTCAGTCACTTTTTAATCTTTTTGACCCAATGGATATTATTTCCTTGAATTCTTCATATAATCAAAGAATCATCTTATAAGTTTAAGCTTGTGTCATCAGTGATAGTATCTATTTACCTTGTTTTCTGTCAGCATCTTGTTCAACTGGCTTCTTCTAAACATTCAAGGTCTTCTCACATTATGTTCCAACATATCTAAGTGTTTGCTTCTTTATTAGTTTCCAATGAGCAGTCTAGTTTACTTCACCTAAAATTGAATGATTTATTCTTCTACAGTGCAGGATATTTTCCTAGCATCATGATTCAAAGTCATAATTTTTCTTTGTTCAACCTTTCTCATGGTCCAGCTTTCACAGATGTATGTTACAAATGGGAAATTAGCCTTAATAGTGCATACCTTTGCTGTCAATGTAATGTCTTTAATATTTTGTCTAAAGTTGTTACATACCTTCTTCCAAATAGTAGATACCTCTTTATTTAATGGTTGTAGCAACAATCCCGGTAAATTTTTAAGCCCAGCAGGATAAAAGCATTCAATTGTCTGCTGAAATAATTTTTTAAGCAGCAATCAATTTTTGCATTCTTTTATTTTCAGCAAGACATTCTCTAAAACATCTTTCAAAGAATCGTCAGCATATCTGAAGTTGTTAATGATTTTCCCAGTAATTTTAATTCCATTTTCTGTCTTCTAGTCCATGATTTCTCATGATATATTCTGCATATAAATTGAAACACAAGGTGACAGTATGCAGTCTTAGTGCATTGTTTTTTCCATTTTTGGACCAATGTTTAGTTGTTAAATATTCTTTTCTAATTGTTGATTACCAGAAATTTAAAGGCTATCCACAGTATGCTGTGGTCTACAAAGTAAACATCCTTGTATATTCAATAAGGGGGAATAGGTCTTTTTAGAACTCCCTTCCCTTCTCTGCTATCCACTGAATGGTAACAATGTGGGTTTTGGTCTCTGCCTCTTCTGAATCCTGTTTGGCAATGCTTGTTCTATGCAAAATTTTGTACATTATCTTATTAGCGTGTGAGAGAAGTTATTGGTTATTACTTTTGAGGTCCTTCGTGGCATGGGTCCGCAGGGTATGTGAAGAGCCATCTTGCCTCAATGGGACTAGCTTGCCTCACTCACTCCAATGGAAGGGGACTGCTGCAGACCCCATTTATTAAGGAATTCTGGTTGGTGGGGTCAAGGGGAAAAGCCTTTTCTGCTGTGGCCCCTGCCCTGCGGAACATTCTGTTACCGGAGGCAAGAACTGTTCCCACACTTTTAGCCTTCTAGAAGGGCATTGACACCTGATTTTGCCAGTTGGCTTGGGGCCCCAAGGGGGTGCTGTCAACTGGAAGTGGTTGACAAGGTAAGTAGACATTCTCATCCTGATGCTCTCCTTTAGTTGGTTCTAGTTTTTTATATCACTTTTTAAACTTTAATTATTTTTCTTTTTATTATTTGTAGGCCTCCCAGAAAGGGCAGCATATAAATTTAATCAATCAAATCAATCAATCAATCAATCAATCATTGTATGATATTTTGAGCATCCCTTAGCACTTCCCTTTTTGGTATTGGAATACAAATTGTTCTCTTCTCAGTTAATTTGGCCATTTCTGTATTTTCCATAGATCCTTACACGCTACAAATAGCATTTTAACCACACAATTTAAATAAATTCTGCTGGTTTTCTGTCATCTTTTGCAAATTTGTTTGGAATATTTTCTATTTACTTGAATGTCTGGGTCTACTTCAGGGATGAAATCCTCTCAAAGAACATTCCTATGAAGTACAATCTCTATTCTATCCTAAGTGTCTTATATATCGGGCATGTCACTCTAGCCCTTTTACACCATCTTCCCAGATCTAGCATTGATTGCCCTAGTCATGTTAATGTCAGTAACCATTTGTTTCACAGTTGCATAAATTCTAAAATGTTCTGATGCTTAGCTATTGAATACAATTTGATCCAAAATATCCTCAGAGTTCCCTGCAGAGACCAGTTGTCCCAGGGCTCCTCCAGTAGAAGATATGATTGTCAGACATCAGCAAAGCAAAATAAGAACCCCTTTTACCTTACCATGTTTACTTTTTCTTATCAGTTGATCATCCTTTCTCACTCTTTATATAACCTGCATCTGTTTTAAATTGACTGGATCTTTATTTTCATTTCTACTATATGTGAGCCAATCCCTTTTGCTTGTCCTTGCTTTTAAAAAACATATTTATGGAATGGGATAAATGAAACTATCTGTTAAATTGGATTGACATATACATTTCCATCTCATAAGAATGCATGAATCTCAAGCAATTTTCATATCAGTCCAGAAATATTCACTTTGTTTATTTACAAGGTGGTTCATTTACTTCTGGCTTGGGAAGTAAACCTGGCCTTTGAGGTGTGAAAGACGCAGCATGCAATGTGAACCAGGCCATTGTAATTTCTTCAGCAAACCATGATTCAAATAATGATATGGCATGATGTGTGTATCCAAACTATGATTTTTACCTTGATTATATAACTGAAGAATGCATTCTTGGACCAGCCTCCCCTGTTGTCTTCAAAGGTATTGGATTGCAGTTTCCATACTTTTTCAGCAAGCGTGGAAAGGCTATTTAGATGTGTTTGAAATAAATAAATAAATAAATAAATAAATAAATAGGAATACAATTCAAATATACAGTATATTCTTGCCACTTGTTAAGCAATTAGCTTCTTTCTGCTAATGCCCTGCAGAAATTCACTCATGAAGTCATTTAGCCTGTACAAGCATTTAACACTTTTTTTTCTGAATTGCATTCAACCTTGATATTATTTCACAGCAGAATATATTTTCTGTACAATGCAAATACAGTGTATAGTGCAGTAGTGCAGAGAAACCTATAGAGACATCCTATGCAGATAGATGAGAATAACAAAGACAATGAAGAATGATCAGTGCTAAAGGATCTAAGACCTTTACAAGGGAATTGCACTGTTATCTCTACTAATATCTCCTGCTGAACAAGCTAGCTTGCCCTGTGCTGTTAATGAAGAAGCGGTCTCAACTTAGCATTCTTGTGCTTGCTGTGACTTTTGTTTATTAAAGTTCTTAGTCTGCTATTGAAAACATTTCAGCCTGGAGAGATTTTTAAATTGGCTCATCAGTCATTTTGATGCCAACCATAGTCTCACTATGTGTGTGTTTTGTTTTGTTTTTTAAAGAGGAAAGAGTTGAAATGCATAGTTATTGCAGAAATGCCCTTCAGGACAGCAAAGAAAAGAGAACTAGGGGTTTTACTTCATTCATATGAAATGCATGTCTCTGGTGGGAGAATTTGCATTAAGCTTGGCTACTTCAGTGTTAGAGCATATTCTGGATCAAGATTTTGCTGTCTTTGAATTTATCAGAAAGGATTTATTTTTAATAACAAAATTTTAACATTCACTGAAGCCACATTACTCATTAATTTTATTTTGTGTGTGTATAGCTGAACGTATTCTAATCTTAAGATTTATTTTCAGTTTCAACATTTGCTTTGCTCACAGATTTTTTTATTCAAAATTCACACCCCCCTCCTTCAAATATCATTGTCTAATTAGGTGAAGAAAATAATTTATTTGTTCTACCAACCCTCTTCCCCCATGCTCTTTTGCAGTTTCTTTTCAGATGGAGAGCATTATGAGGAGTTTTCTGAAGGATTGTCTCCCTTGCCAGTTCTTAAGAAAGGACTCAGCATTTGAGTGTGTGCTTTTTAGGACTAATTTGGTTGTATTGGCTAATATATAAACTCAAACTAATATAAAGTCCAAAGAAGAAAAGAAAGAGAAAAAAGCAAAAAGAAAGCAAAAAGTGCAAGAAAGGGGAAAAATACAATAGTAAAGAAAGAAAAAAACCAGAAAGAAGTGACTTCTGATTTTTTTTACAGTAGTTATAAGTGCAATTATAAATTCACCTTTTATTCTAAGCTGTTGTAACATGACTCTTTTCTTTCTATAATTTATCCTGTCTAGTCATCAAAATTATAAATCATAAGTTCACTTTTTCTGTTTTATGCAAAAAAGTGCACAAGGGTTTTCTAGTGACTATAATATATTTTAAGGAAAATCACTTCCTTTTGGAATCATACTTTTTTTAACAATGCCAATTTCAGAACAATGATTTCTGTTAATCAAATAGTATAGGATAAAAATGTTAGTCCTGTTCTGTAGTCCTGTAATTTCAACCAAGTTGCTACTATGGGAAAAAGAAAGGCCCTAATCACAAATGTCTCTAACTTAGCCATAAAGTGCTATCCAAAGGATATCTACAATTGTATTCTATTGGGATAAACTGTAAATTTTAAATTCATGGACTCATGTCCACTATACTGTGGTCTCTGTGGGCTTTTCTATTGCTATTTGATAATAATAGTGGCCTTTTTGATTCTGGAAATGTGGAATGATGGTGATTTTAATAGTAATTGTATTGGAGGGGGGTGATAAATAAGAAAAGTACATGAAGTACATGAAAGACAGTTTTATCCATGAATTGCAGAAAAAAATGTGTGTTTCAGACAAAATAATGGCCATTAAAACCCCAAATCTTATATACTTTTTTCAAATTTCTTCATGTTATTTCCTGTTAAGTGACTGCCATATCCACACTCACTAATGCAAACCTTATCCATTCTTGCAGACAAACAAAGCCATTGCTAAAGGGGATTTCCACCAAGCAAGCTCCAGTTCACGGAGAGCTCTTTTCTTGGCTGTGCTATCCATCACCATTGGAACAGGCATTTATGTAGGAGTTGCTGTAGCACTCATAGCATATCTGTCCAAAAACAACCACATATGAAAGTTGACAAATTAGACTGCTACAGAAAGCTATAGAGGAATGATATTGTACCTTTCAAATATAAACAGTTTTGAAAGTGAGAAGGGCTGTCATAAATTTATACAATCTGAATTCCGAAGAGAAATGTTCTGGATCTTTTTTTACTTTTCTGATTTATTTTTAGTATTGGCAAAACTGTTATTGCAAGAAACCAAGAAAGCCATGGACATTTCCAAATATCAAAATTTAGCTTTGGACCTTGTTTATAATTTGTTTCTGGTCTAAATTAGACTCAACTCCAAATTTGGGATCATCGGTCAAAAAGTAGGAGACATCTGAAGGAACAAAAGTAAAGGTGGAGAATCTGAAAGTTGTTTTGCTATTCCAGAAAGCTAATTCTGGATTTTGGATAACTTAAGAACTAGTAACTGACTTAGTGCTTATCCATAACTAAAATACAAACAAAGCTGCAGAATCAATGTTATGTAGGACTAGCAAGGGACCGTCAGTTCTTTATTCAATCATAATCAGAAAAGGGCCACCCCTGAGCCAAATGAAATGCAGTAGCTGAGGTGGCAGATTTTGCTATTATAAGGAACAGCAGAATGGGAAAGTGAGGGTTCCAGTTATAGTATAAAGTTGTTACATACTTTACATAAACTGCTCTGGAATACAACACATAAAACAGTGGTCTTGTACAACCCTGTTCTTTGCCTCAGTGTAGCTTACACAGATAATTTCTACATGGATTGTTCATAAATGATTTCATTGAACATCTTTGAAGTCAAAGCATCTTGTGCTGATTGGCCCTGCTCCTATTCCGAAAAAGACTTGCTTGCAAAGCATGCTATTCTTTCTGGCAGCAACTCTTTTCCAGAGAGGATTTTTTTCCAGCAAGTAAATATAAGAAGCCCACGCATAAATGTCATGGCAAAGCATGAAGTATCTACCACTGAGAAACCAGCCTACCGGCACAAAAATGTTTTCTTAGCTTACAGACTCACATCTGAGCAAAGCTGGAGTATGTTGGAATATGTCTCTTGGTACAAAACTTGAATAAGCAATGGTCATATTGTAAAGAATGTATTTAATATTAAAATTTGTCTTAAAAATCATGAATCTGCTACATATCTCTTCTAATGGTCTTTTGCTCTCTTGAAGCAATCTTTTCACGTGGCATTTTACAGAATCTTATAAAACCATTCATTGCAATGAAATACGTTATCTGTCTTGATTTTTATCAACATTATTATTCCAAGGTATTTTCAACATTTGAGGCTGTTTAAAATTTGTTTACTTTGGGATTAATATATTTTCTGTAAATGCTCCTAAGCCTATGAGTCCAAACTGCCATTAAATTGTAGTTTAGATTGGGAAAAGCAAAGTGGGTGGTTGAGGTTTCAAGGAAATATTGTTCAAATACTAAATCAAGTCAAAAGGTACCAATATAAGTTCTTTTCAAAATCTGGGCTTTACTAACAGCTTGGTTTAATTAACTGTAGCTTTTTTCCACTCTTCTATACATAGTTTGGTATCAGTTCTTGAACTCAACTAATGAAAATACCTTGGATGGATTTGCCCGTTCATATAGTTACAGATCCTACCGGGGAGGGCCAAACAGATGAAGGAAAGTCAAATAGTGGCTTCCTTTAAGACTTCTGACTGGTGATGGTAACTTTTGATACTAATAACAGTACTGGTTACTGATACTGTGGCTATTATGTTGTGCTTCTTCAGTGATCTATCATTGAGGAAGAACTGCACTGCTTCCATAGTCACCTTAAAAGTAATGCTGCTCCTATACTACAGATGGCTTGAAGTTTCTAACAGCTGTTGGCTGAGTATAATTAGAAATTGACATTAGCATATTGTGGAAACAATGCTGCACAGGGACATGCTGAGCTGATTAAATTATAATCATTATTCCCACAACACCATGAAGTAAGATGCCATGTTTGATGGAATATGTTTGATGGAAATCTTTAAACTATTGAGCATTCAGCAAAATGCTTCAAAGTATAAATAAATTTATGAGTGGAATGAAGTTTCTCTTCAGGAGACTTAAGTTTCAAAATTCACCTCTTCTATGGAGAAACTTCATTCATTGGCCTACAATAAAGTTTATACTTATAGTTGAAGTATTTTTACTGAATGCTCAATTGTTTGAAGATTTCCATCCAACATACCTGATGATAAAAAAAAACTTCTTTGGTTTAACATTTATTCATGTGAAAAGGAGAACAAGATGACAGCAAATAAATTGGAATCGTGCTGGATTTCCATGCAAACAACATCAAAGAGTTTCTTAAAAACATTGCCTTCTCCCTGATACCATATGCCAGTTTTATGAAAGATTTACCAAAAAATAGGGCATGTTTTCAAGAAAGCATTTTTAATAGAAACCTCTACATCTATGTAGTCTGATAAAGATTGTCATAGAGACTGATCCTATGCTTGTTTCTTTAAAACTAAATGTATACTAATTGTATGTCCATGCACACATGTATTAGATTGCAGTCATTTGAAACATGTTTCTGATTTGCATTTCAGTTATTATAATTTTTAAAAGACACTAAAACTAGAGTGCCCAAAGCTTACAATTGATTTGACTTATATGTAAATAATAACAATTTTGATTCAACATTTTTGTTAAGCAAAAAGGTGCTGCATAGCAAATCACATGATATAATAATCATAAAAATAGCACCCTAAGTTTATAAGCCCCAGATCATAAATTACTCGTGTGCAAGTTCCAAGTCAAGGCAAAGAAGAACAAGACAGTCTTCGTGACATGATCTTCACCAGATATCCACCATTTTCAGAGAGATAATCATGGACCGCATTGAAGTCCTGAATCTCACTGTAGGGAAATAGAGGAACTGTGAAGTGAAATTAAAGGATGAACAAGAAAAGAGACTTGTCAACCACCAAAAAACAAAAGAAAACAAACCCTCAGAATAGACAGCGGAAACTGCTGAGACAAGAAGCTAAAGCCAAGAAAAAAGACACAAGGATCAGCATTATGACATCTCTAAAGATATGAAACTAATATAAAAGTAAGGAAAGATTTCCAAAAGATCTCTGAATTCAGAAGGGGAAGGGTCCAACCTCAATTTGTTACACTAAAGGAGACCAATGGACAAATAGTAATTGATTTCAAGATCATAGAGATGGAAGGAATACACTGAAATTCTGTACAACAGAAATGTCAACCTCAAGCATAACTTAAAAGTTTTTTTACATTAACCTATTGTCCTAAATGCTGAAGTTAGATCAATCCTCTAGTTATTACGAGATTAAAAGATTATAAGAACTGATGGAATATCTACAGAAATATAAGTAATAGAAAATGTATCAGTAAAAGTTCTAACCAAACTGTGCCAGCAAATCTTAGGAATGATATAATGGTCAACATTGGAAGAGGTCAGTCTACCAATGCCAAAGGAAGAAGAATTAACAAAATGTGCAGACTATCATAAAGTAGCTTTAATTTAACATGCTAGCAAATTAATACTTAGAAACATGGAATGCAGATTAGAGCCCTACATGGAAAGGGAAATGCCAGATGTTTAAGCTGATTTTAGAAAAGGCTGAGAATGCTGACCCATGCATATATGACCCATGAGAAAACCAAGGAATACCAAAAAGAATCCAGTATGTATTTCACCAAGTATAAAGGCCTTTCAATGTGTCAACCACATCAAGCTTAGGAAAAGGGGGATCCCAGAACATCTCACCATCCTCATGCAAAACCTGGAAGCCATTGTCTAGACATAGCAAAAAAGTGAAACAAAGCTGTATACTGTCTTCTTATTTATTCAGTCTTTATGCTGAATATATATTGATAGTGGCTAGATTTGTAGAAGATGAACTTGGATTTGAAAAAAAACCAATTCATGTTTTTTTCCTCCAATGAAAATCAATAACTTGTGCTGTGTTGATGGCACTATTCTGATAATGGAAAAATGTAAGTACAAACTTTAGTAAGGAAAGTCAAGGACCATAATAATAAAAAAGGGACTACCATTAAATATAACGAACAACGAACGAATGACAATAGTTACAGCTATGGCCCACTACTGAGCCACAGCCTGTTGGGAACTGGGCCACTGAAGCAGCGGATCAGTGTGCAATTTGTGCATGCATGGGATTTAAGTTGCGCGTGCGAAACCACTCCTCCACCTGCCACTGAAGCTGCCATCAGTCTACAGAAGCAAAAAGGTTGGGGACCTCCCAGTTACGGCAACCAGCCTTAAGATTGACAAGTTGTGGGTTGCTTCCATCTTTTAGAATTAACCTTCAATATTAAAGGAACCAATAGACTGATACATAGTAGGACAGCCATGGAAAAGATATTCTGATGCCATGATACGTCTATATCTACAAAAATCAGAATTGTACAGGCAGTGGTTTTCCTATGACTTTCTATGGACTTCAGAGAAGCAGGATAGAAATAGTATTGAAGCTTTTGAGATTTGGTGTTGGAAAAGGCTCTTAAAAACACTACAAGAAAAAAAAATTGGATCATACAACAAATCAATCCAGAGTTCTCACTTGAAGTACAAATTACCAGCCTCAAATGTTTATATTTTGGGCACATAATGTAAAAAATCAACTTCCTTAAAAAGTCCAAAAAGCTGAGAGAAATGGAGGGAAGAGAAGAGGACAATTAACAGCAAGGTGATAAATTCAGCTGCAGAAGTGAAGGGTGCATTATTGGAAGATCTAAAGGGCCAAGTTGGGGGTAGATCATCTTGGAAAATGTATGTGGTTTCTAAAAGTCAATAGCAATTTGGTGGCACATAATCAAAATGTGGAAAGTAATTTCCAACGTCAACATAAAAGATCCATTTTTTAAAAAATCGTATAAAAATAATTTTAAAATGGGCACCAACATGAACCAATATGAACCAATAAAATAACAAGCACATTGGGGAAAATAGAATGTATGATCAGAAAACAAAATGTTAGCTTTTAAAGCTAACTTTTTCAGGACTAAGAAACACTGGCTCTGAATTAATCAGCTGCAGATATCACTGATTTATGGCAGATTGGATTTGATTTAAATCAAGTTGATTTAAATCAACTCAATTTAAATCACTAGTAAA